GATCAGCTGCCTCTTGCACACATCCCACTGGGGATGTGCCTGCAACCCAGGCACATGCCCTTGACCAGAATCGAACCCGGGTTCTTTCAGTCCGCAGGCTGACGCTCTATCCACTGAGCCAAACCGGTTTCGGCAGGAATATTTCCTTTTTAATTGAATATATATATGTATTTTTATTAATTTCAGAAAAGAAATCTGGAGAGATAGAAACATCAACAAGAGAGAATCAATGATTGGCTGCCTTCTGCACAACCCCTACTGGGGATCAGGCTGGCAACCCAGGCATGTGCCCTTGACTGGAATTGAACCCAAGACCCTTCAGTCCATAGGCAGACATTCTATCCACTGAGCCAAACCAGCCAGGGCTTGCTTTTTTTGTTTTGAGAGAGAGAAACATTGATCAGCTGCCTCCTGCACGCACCCAACCAGGGACCAAACCTGCAGCCTGGGCATGTGCCCTGAGGAGGAATGGAACCAGTGACCATTTGTTGCACAGCACGATGTTTGACCCACTGAAGCACATGGGCCAGGATAGAGGTTTTCCGTTTTTTAAATACTTGTTTCCAAATTGTGACACAGAAAAATTAGACATCTGCCAACAATGCTCAGCCTCCTATCTGTGTCACTAAAATCTTCAACAACTACCGTCCCCTTTTCAATTGCTTGGATGGCTTCATCTTCCATGTTTGGCATCTCTCCCTTACAAAACCTTAACCCTGCCATTTCCATAGGTCACCGCCGTCTCCTTCCCTGACAGAGCAGTTTGCACAACCAGCTTCCGCTTTCTTGTTAATGTCAATTCCACTGAGCATCTCTCGCGGTCACCTGTGACCTCATTACCACTGTCCTTGGCCTCTTCCAAGACCTTTCTGAGTAGCTCCCCAGCTGGTGCCTGACACAGAGTAAGGGTCCCCGTGTCTTTTCCCGCAGGTCGAGGGGCAGATTACGTGAACCGGGTTAAGAAACTGAATTTCCTCCCGAGGGCCACCGGGGAGCTTTCAGCAAGGGAAACCCAGCAGCTGTGGATTTCTGAAAGCTGGTTCTGTTCCTGTGGAGAGACTGGGGGGAGGGGGCAAGGCTAAGTGGACCTGATGGATAGAGCGTTGGATGAGGAGTCCCCTGGGACGGAGAGAGAAGCTAGGGGTGGGCATGAGCACTGTACATAAGGCACAGTGACCAGGAACGGGAGGCTGAATAAGGTATGCACGGGGAAGGAAGAAACTGGGTGATCCCCAGGTTTCAAACCACTGGAGTTAGGAACAGATTCCGTCCCTGGTGGCCTTGCTAGGTGCTGTTTCAGTGGAGCATCGTGTCAGAAGGCGCAGGTAGTGAACGGGAGGGGAAGTGGAAAGAGTGAAAGCAGGCAGCTCTCACAAAGTCTGCCGGTGAGAGGTCAGGGGCACGGAGGACAGGCCAGTCAGGAGTCAGGTCCCATTGTTGTAAGGCAGGAGAAACGTCATGTTTAAATGCTGAAAGCAATGCCATTTTAGAGAAAGAGGTTGAAGATACACAGAGAACGATGTCCCTGGGGTGGGAGGCGCAGGCCTTAGGGGGAAGGACGGGAGCAGAAGCAGGTGCATTTGTAGGTTTGAAGGAGGAAGTTGAGGGCGTCCCCATATGATGGCCTCTTTGTCAGGTTCTGGAAGGGTGACGGGGTCAGAGGCCTAAGAAGACTGAGGAAGATCTTAAACAGCTGTTTCAGAGAGCAGGCGAGACTGCAGGAGGCCCTAGGTTTTCTGGGCAAATTGAGGGCCCAGGTGAAATTGGACCAGAAACATGGCGGGAGTGGGCACCTCACTTGTCACCAGCCTCATTTCTTTCTGAAAACAGAGAGCATTCAGAGTTCTCAGTGCCTCCTTTGTCCAGCTCCCCAGCCCGGAAGCCCGGGGCCTCAGCTCTGGGGCCCCTGGGAACTTCACAGCTTCATTCTCCTGTTCCCCCACATGGGTACACTCAGCCACACAGACCTCCTGATTGTTCCAGACACATCATGTACTTCCCCACTTAACGCAAGACCGAGATGACCGACATTCAAACAAACAGTTTAAAGCAGCAGCCGCCAACCTTTTGGACCTCTCGGACCACCGGTCGGCGACCGCTGGTTTAAAGGGCTGTGCTGTCAGTTTTTCAAACTCCTCTGGTGGCCAGAGAGACAAGTACCTACCTAGACAGCAGGATTCTGGTCTTCCAGAATTACATAGAAGACTCTGGCTTCCTTATAACCCAGTGAGTAGAGTCGATATAACCACTATTGGTATACCTACACCAATGAGGACACCTAGAACTTGCACACACCTTTTGTTCTCACACAGCTCTTACCTCGGTGCTTTTGTCAGAGGCTTTAGTTGGCAAGCAACTAACAGGAAACCCACTCTAGCTAATTTAAGGGGAAACCTGTGTTGTCCTAGCTGGTCTGGCCTGCAGACTGACGGTCCCAGGTTTGATTCGGGTCGAGGGCACATACCTTGATTGCAGGCTTGATCCCTAGCTCTAGTCGGGGTGCATGTGGGAGGCAACCAATTGATGTTCATGAGTTACCACTGAGCCAGCTGGGCAGACTCATCAGAAGGTACCCTCATGAAGAACAATCTTCTCTGACCAGCGCCCCCCCCCATTCCCTCTCCCCTCCACTCGCAGACTGACACCCGCCCCCACTCCCCACCAAAAGAACACAGGCAGCCAAAGGCAGCTTGGGCAGTACTTGATATACATCATACATTTATTAGTGAATATCCCTCTGAAATCAGCAACAATATTAAAAAAAATAATGATTGCACTACTTGGTCAAGCAGAACTAGCAACTTTCATTTTTAAAAAAGTACAAATCTGTTAAAAATTTCAATCAGTATACACATATATATAATACAACATACTAGTTATGTTAAATGCTACAAACCAATGTGAATCCAATGGAATGGAAAAAAAACCACACATTTAAGCTTTAAGAACCATTTTTTTTTTCTCTATATATTAGCATTTTCTCAAATACATACATGGGGAAAATGAGGTAACTGTAAAATGTGCAAGGAACAGGCCCCCCAAATTTATATTTATATGTGTGTGTATATATATGTATATTGCAGTTACATACATATATATATATAAAACCCTTCTAACACAGAACACAGGTGCTGGGCCCAGCCAGGCTGGGGGATACTGCCCACTGCCATGCCTAGGCCAGAAGTTGGTAAATAAGAGTAAACATTAACAAGCCCCCACCACAGGAAATCATTGGTAACATGGCATCTAGAGCAAGGTCAGCAAATCACAAACATCCTAAATAATTGTTTTATAAATCTTCTCTTAAATGATTTTTTTTTAAAACGTCGTTTCTCCTCCCACCCCCGTCAACAGCCGCTCGTTGGAACCACTGTGGCAGCCTCTACCACCCGAGAGCCTGTTCTGCCTGCCCAGGACCCGGAGGGTTTTGAAAACCTTTTTTTGGAGCGGGGAAGGGAGGGGCTGGAAGAGGATGGTTCTCTTGTGTAAAATACGAGGGGTTTGGACGCTGCTATATAGAAACATCACCTGGCGTTATATACAGTAAGACTTTGGGTTCTCCATGGGGTGGGGCCAGGCTGATGGGGCCCCATGGCAGCCGGGGAGGCGGGAGCCAGGGCCGCTGCCGGAGAACGAGGGTGGTTGGAGCATCCCTGAGGCAGCAGGCGCCAGGGGCTGCCTGCTAGGATGTGCCGGCCCCACACGCAGTTCGTTCTGGGCAGCAACCTCAGCTGGGGGGTGGGACAGGGAAGGGGCTGGGAAGGAGAGGGAGGGAAGCTCAGCCAGACCCTATGGGGGCCTCCTCCAGGCCTCTGAGGGCAGGCTCAGGGTGGGAGGGGGCCCCTGGAGGTGAGGCCCACGCCCTCCCTGGTCCCAGTCCTCCTGGGGCTTCCGTGGAGGAGACTGGCCCAGGCGGGTGAGAGTCGGGCGCTGGCTGGAGAGGGAGAAATGCCCTGAAAAGCAGTAGGCTCTGGGGACGTGTGCAGTACAGTGCATGGCAGTTATCAGCTGAGCACAGACCCCTAATTCTGCTTGTGGCCGCCGGCCGCCGGGCCCAGCCCCAGCCGCCCGCATGCATGTGGACCAGGCGGCACCACTGGATGGTTCCCTGCCCCCTGGGCACTCAGTCCTGGTTGGTCCCTAATACCCACCCCCATTTAACCAAAAGAAAAACAAATTGTCTAAAAATCCACATCCCAAAATCCTACACGCGATTTTGGGCCAAATGAATACAGACAGACTGCTACTCTTCACGTTCATGCAGAATGACAGCGAGGGGAAATCGGGCATGGGTCTGGACCCCGTCACTGCCAGGGAGCGGTGGTGGCCAGGACCTGGGTCCCTCTGCCTGGCACAGCCCAGGCCCCTCAGGATATGTGCTGCCCAGGCTCAGGGCCTGTGCCCCCCGCACAGGAGGCCGGCTGGCTCTGAGGCCCTCTAGCCTGGGCGTGTGGCTGGAATGTTGTGCCTGGGGGGAGGTCCTCGGGGAGCCAGACCCACCCCTTTCAGCAGGCTGCGTGGGGCTGGCTGCCTGAGTCCGACTGGGGACAGACCCAGGCCTGGGTTTCAGGAGATGGCCGTATGCCACTGTCTGTCCATGGCTGTCAGTGCCGCCTGGGAAGAGGGCACGCTATTTCAGTGCAAGAGACCGAGAGTCCCATCGGGGCCAAGGATCTCCACCGGCCACAATGGGGGGAAGACCCGGGGTCCCAGTGCTGACGGACCCCAGGGCCAGCGGGAGGGAGGCCGAACGGGGCACTCAGGCAGCTCCGTGATGGGCGGACTGGCAGGCAGACTGGGGATAGAGTCTTTGGAGCTTGGCAAACGCAGGGGCTTATTGCAGGAGCTGCTCGTGGGCCTGACCCTGGCACCAGCGCTGGATGTACAGGTGGGAGCAGTGGGACAGGCCCGGGCCCTCCCTCCCCAGCCTCCCTGAATCCCCCCCTCCCCCCCTGAGTTTCCAGAGCTTCGGGCAGGGTCCTCCTGGGCAGTTGTGGGCCTCACTCGACTTCCCTGGGCACCTCGGAGGCGTCGGCCCGGCAAATGGGACACGTCCGGTTGGCCTGAGGGGAGGAACGGCTGGCGCTTCAGCCCCCACCCGCCCCCGCCCCCGCCCCCGCCCAGCCTCCTCCCTCCGTGCACGAGGAACCCGGGCTGCGTTACCTTCAGCCACTTGTCCACGCACTTGGTGTGGAACTCGTGGTTGCAGGGCAGGACGCGGAGCAGCTGCCGCGCCTCGAAGTCGCTGAAGCAGACGACACACCTGGGAGGAGGGCACAGGACGTTGCTTCCGTGCGGGTGGCTGAGGGCAGGCTCGTGGCAGAGCACGGGCCCCATCCTCCCCCCCCCCCAAGGGTTCCCTGGCAGCCCATCTGCGCCCCGAGGGCAGGCCGAGGGCAGGCCGGGCGCCGCACTCACAGCGTCTGCTCCGACTGACGGCTGTCGGGGTTGAAGCGGTAGGCGGGAAGCTGCTCGATGTCCGCCTTGGCGAGGCCTCGCGGCTTGGCGTCCCCCAGCCGCTCCGCCAGGCTCAGGAGGGCCTGCAGACGGCAGGGGGGGGGGGTCAGCAGCGGCCTGGGCCGGAGGCCCCCAAGCCCCCACCTCCCCGGACAGGGCTCCACGGGACCTCATAGTTCTCCAGCTCCACGTCGTCCACATCGAGATCCAGGCTGATGGTGGGCCCCACGGCTGTGGGCGACATTGGCAGCATTGAGCTAGGGGAGACAGGTGCAGGGGCCAGGGTCAAGGTCAGCAGGCACTGGGGCCCCAGTGTTTGCCCCGGGATGTTGAAGGAGAGGAAAGCCCAGCTGGTGTGTGAGTGTGCGCGGTCTGCTGAGGGTGCAGATAACCTGAGAGGCCCCAGGCCCCCACAGCTGTGTTTGTCTAACCACAGGAGGCCCCCGGAGAGGAGCACCACGGCTCTGGGGCAGACGCGCAGGTACTTACAGGAAGTAGGGCAGGAAGCTGGGATAATACGGCGGCGGGGGTGGTGGTGGTGGCGGCGGGGGCAGCGGCTGTTGCAGGCGGTATCTCTGGGTGCTCACTCTCCGTGGCATCATGTGGGAATAGGGCTGTGGGAGGGCGACAGGTCACCAGTGTGCCTGGCTCCCATCGCCCCAGAGCCTGGGGGTAGGAGGGTGGGGAGGAGTGGGAGGGAGGGGGTTGGGGGTGCCACTCACCACACCAAAGGACAGCTCTTGGTGCAGGGGGTCGTGGGGCAGGTAGTGCAGGGGCACGGACGGGGACAGGGCCGGGCCTGGGGCAGAGGTGGAATAGGTGAAGCTCCCCAGGGGGTACTGATCCCCCCGAAGGTCCACGTCGTTGTCCAGCCGCTGCAGGGGCTAGAAGAGGCAGGTGGGTCAGCTGCGGTCAGTGACAGGGAGACCCCTGCCCCGTGCCACCTCCTCCAGCATCAGCCCCGTTGCCCAGACTCACCATCCGTGGGTGCTGGGCCTGCAGCGATATGAACTGGCCCAGAGGCGCCATGTGAGCAGGCTGGGGGTGTGGGGCGGGCGGCGGGGGGTGCAGGATGTAGTGGTCACTGGAGATGAGGTGGGGGTAGGCCTGATAGGGCACAGGGAGCTGCTGCATGGTGCACGCCTGGATCAACTGCCGAGAGAGGGGGCAGGAGCTGGAAAACGTGCTTCTAGGCCGGCCTGTGCTTATGGTGAGGGCCGGGGGCCACCCCATACAGCGGCAGGTCCCCCCGAAGCCCTCTGGACCGACTGCCCGTCCCTGGCCTAGGCCACCCAGGCAGGACACTACACTCCGAAGGCCCACAGTTACCACCCCCACATGGGCTCTGTTGAGAGGCCGGGTATAGCATCTGGGGGCTCCCACTGGCAGGCACTGGGGTGCAGGGTGGTGGTCTGGAGCCAGGGAGGCGCCCTGACAGCCTGCCTGGGTGTCCTAAGCTCGGTGGTCCCGCCACGGGCCTTGTGGTGGGGGTGGGGGATGGGGATGGGAGGTGGAGGCCCCCACTCACCGGGGGCGGAAGGCAGCAAAGTGGGTAGTGCTGCCCACTGAACATCACGGAGCATGCTGGGAGCTGTTGGGCACTGCAGCCAGGGATGTGCTGGCCTGAAGGCAAGGGGAAGCCTTGGGTCGTCACGGTGGTGACCGTGTAGGACAGAGGGACAGGTCCCTGGTGCACCTGTGGGCGGAGAGAAACACGGGGGCTGAAGGGAGGAAGCCTGGCCGGAAGGTGCTGCCCCGGGTGAGACAGTCCTGCGGGCCTCTCCCTGTTCCCTAGCCGGGCCCACCTAGTGCAGACCGGGCTGCCCCTGCCCCAGTCCAAAGAGCAGAGAGCCCGGGAGCCTGGAGGAGCTTCCAGCTCTGCCACTCGCCCGCTGTGTGGTCCCGGCCAGGCCCTTCCCTCCTCTGGGCCTCAATTACAGCCCCTAAAGCAGGGCTGATGATGGCTCCCTCAACATGCAAGGGGTTAAGCAAGGGGAAATCGGGCTCCGTCACTCTCACAGACGGGCTTGCAGAGGCCGGGGGCGGACGGGGTGTTCTGCCTACCTGCTCGTGGAGGTCAACCATGAACGGGCTCTGCTGGGAGGCTGGGTGCAGCATTCGGGGGCTCCCGCCGGCAGGAGCCGAGGCTCGACGCTCCTCTACAAGGAGGTGTGACGGTCGGGGCGGAGGCTGCTGGGAGGGTAAGCGCTCATCCTGGGCAGGCAGGCGGCCCTCACGGCCAGGGCTGCACCACAGAGAGGAGGCCCGGGTAGGACTGAGGGGGGACACTCATTCACAGAGCATGGCGAGGAGCCAAGGTCACTCCCCACGGGGGAAGGAGGAGAGCTCAGGGCCCATGCCCTGCCACCTCTGGCCCCGTGAGCTCCGGGGACTGCAGGACGGGAGGTTCCTTCCTACCTTCCCCGGAGCTGGGCTGGGGTGCTGCTGGGTCCCGCAGACAATCGCCGCTGACCCACAGGGGCGGAGGGCGGCCACCTAGTCACCGCCAGAGCCCATGGTCGCATCAGGGGTGGCAGAGGGGTGGAGAGGCTGGGCCCGGGCTCGCAACCCTAGGAGTCAAAAAGACAGAGAAACTGAAGCACAGAGAAATCCCCCGCTTGTTTCATTTAGGACCCGGGAGACTAAAATCAAACCTCTGCTGTCTGATTCTGGGGCCACCGATGCCCACCCCCACCCCTGTGCTCCCCATGCACAGGGACTCTGGGGGGGTCTAGCCCTCTTCCTGGCACTGGGGCTCAGAGCTGAGAGACAGGGCCCTGCTTGGCTTGCAAGGATCCCAGGCCTCAATCCGCTCTGCAAAATGAGCCTGGGCTCCCTCGGGGCTGCAGTAGTCTCTGTCTCCTGGGGCAGGTGGCTCCATAAGGCTCCTTAGCGTAGGGCTCCCTCCTGTGGGGGGGTCTATAGCGCTGGTCTCCAGGCAGGCAGCGTTCCTGGGCGGCTCCAGCTTCCTCCCTCTATCTAGTTGGCTCAGGGGGGGATTCCAACCAGGCGTGGGGCCCAGTTTTCCTTCCACTACTGCCAGGTAAGAGGTTCTGACCTAGATCCTGCCCCCGGGGGCTCCCAGTCTGCCCCCAGGTGACACGGTCCTACCAGGCCACCTCCCTTCCTTCTCTCGCTGGGATCTCTACCTACGTACAGACCTGGCCGTCCCTCTGTTTCTTTCCATAACCGTTCCACAGTGCCTACCCATGTGAGACTTCTTCAAAGAAGGTATTATTTGCTCCATTTTACGGAAGAGGAAACTGAGGCTGAGAGAGGAAGGGACTTGCCCCAGTGTCAAAGGGGAGGTGGGCTGACCCCAACCCCTCACCGCACCCTGCCACCTGCGGGAGGGTCCAGCCCACGGGCACCCCAGGAGGGGCTGAGAGAGGCAAGCCACCTTGGTTGGCCAGGTAGGCCTGGAATGCAGCTCTGGGGGCCTCACACAGCCTCCAGGCGGGAGGTGGGGCTTGCTGAGAGAAGAAAAGAGGAAGCCAGAACCTAAGGGAGGAAGTTGTGCAGGAATGGGGTGTGGCAGGTCTGCTCCTTCCCTGGGAACCAGGGGGTCCAGGTGGGACAAGTTAGGGAGACCACTCATTAACTCCAGAGGTCGGGGTGAGGCCCCGGGAGGGAAAGCTTTGAACCTGTCCTGTTCCTGCCACAGGAAGGTCCCCACCACCCCCCTTCTCCTTTTGACAAAACTCCCTCCGAATCCGTGATGTCTCCCTGCTGACACTGCCAGGAAGCAGTGTACTGTCCCCTCAGCACCTGTTCCTTCCTGCCGGCAGTGGCAAAAACATTTCTTTTGAGAGGTCTTTGCAGCCCTGACTCTCCAAACGAACCTGCAAGAAAGGCCCTTCTCCAGCTGCCAGGACAGCGTCCCGCCAAGGCCACAGCCAGGACGAGGCTGGGATTCACGCCTCCTGCTCCTGGCCGGCCTCGTGTGGAAATAATGCACCGGGGACTCGGCCACACAGGGCCAAGGCCTGTCTGCAGTCGTGAAGTTAGTGCCAACTATGATTCTGGCCTTTGGGTGGTCCGGGCCAGAAAATCCGGCTCCACTGGTCCTTCATTTATGCTTGGCCCCTTCTTTCTTGGAGCATGAGTCACCCCAGGAACACTCCCTCCTGCCCACACAGGTGATGGGTTTGTGATCCCTAGTGTGGGTCAAGTACACATCCTCACACATGGGTATACATACACCGCCTCCCGGTTCCTACTGACAAGCCAGCCTGGCCAGCAAAGGCCAACAGAGCTTCAGGGGGAACCTCCAAATAATGGGAACAGGCCCCGGGACCTCCTGGGTCAGAGTTGTTACGGGGTTGGGAAACAAGGGCACCTAGTTTTTTTTTTTGTTTTTTTTTTGCCAAATTCTCCAGCAGTTAGGTTTGGGAATCTCTGCTGACTGACTTCAGAGATTCTGGGAACCCAGCTCCCTGATAAACAACATCAACAATAACTACAATACTCCCATGTGCCATCCTGATCAGTCCTTACTGCAACCCACAGATGGAAGGGCAGTGAAGCTCAAAGAGGTGAGGTCCAAGGCCAGTCAGCTGGAGCTGTAAGGGCAATGGGACACGGCCCAGGCAATGGCCTCAACGGTTACTCTTTTTTATTTTTAAAAAAATATATTTTATTTTTTTTACAGAGAGGAAGAGAGGGACAGAGAGAAACACCGATGAGAGAGAATCATTGATCAGCTGCCTCTTGGGGATGTGCCCTTGACCGGAATCGAACCTTTCAGTCAGCAGGCTGACGCTCTATCCACTGAGCCAAACCGGTTTCGGCTCAACGGTTACTCTTGTGGGAGGCTGTTTGCTGAAGTCTGGGCAGCGTCAAGGCTCAGGGGTGTGGACCCCACAGAGGCCCAGGCCCATGCGAATCTGTTCTGTGGCCAGCCCCTCAGACACCCACTTCTCAGGAAAGGGAAGTAGCAATGAGCCGAGAACCCAGAAGAGCAGACAGAAGGGGCTCTAACTGTGGACACATGACACCCTGACTGCCGGCCGGGGTCTTGAGCATATCACTTCCCCTCTCTGAACCTCAGCTTCATCTGTAAAGTGGGTACAGCTTAATGACCTCCTCCAGTGGACTGGCAAGTGCTGCTCACAGGCCCTTGTAAGAGTGGTTTGTAAAGCTTAGGTGTGAACAATCTCTCTCTCTCTCTCTCTCTCTCTCTCTCTCTCTCTCTCTCTCTCTCTCTCTCTCTCCCCCCAAGTGACCATTACCACCAGTCGCTATGACACACACTGACCACCAGGGGACAGATGCTCAATGCAGAAGCTGCTCCCTGGTGGTCAGTGCACTCCCATAGTGGGAGCCGCTGCTCAGTGAGCTTACTGAGTATCGGATGAGCATTAGCAGTGAGGCACCGGCCCCAGCTCAGGACTCCTTTCCCGCAGCCTACCGCTTTGTGCACCACTGCACACCACTACATCCCGGGGTGGGGGTGGGGTGGGGGGGAAGAGATATGTCAGACTGCATGCAGTCCAACATCCTCCGAGGGGTCCCAGAATGCGAGGGCACAGGCCAGGCTGAGGGACCCCACCAGTGCACAAATCCATGCACTGGGCCTCTAGTTAGACAATAAGGGGCTGACCTCCACTCCACCCTCCAAGCAGAAATCAGGGGCCACTTCAAGCTCTGCAGGTGGCAGCTGGGAAGTATGCCTCCCTAGGGAATACCCCTGCTGACAATGGAGGGGCCCCTGATTCCCAAAGTCCTACTAGGAACAGAGGCAGCAAAGAGGGGACACACCCACTTCACAACTGAAGAGACAGACCCAAAGAAAGGAAGTAACTTGCTCTAAGCTAAAAAGCCAGAAAGAGACAAATTTGGTCACAGTTAAACTCCTGGGCCCAGATTCCTCCAATCCCTGACTCAGTAGCATCAGTAATCCTAAAACCCGCCTAACCCCAACGCTCTATTCCAGGCCCTGCAGATCAGGAGAGCTTTCTTGAAGGGGCCTGTGACTTGCCCGAAAGAGAAGCGAGAGAGCTAGCAACTTGCTCAAGGTCAGCAGCAAGGGTGGCCACCCAACGTGCTCTGCCTTTCCACACTCCTCTGTGCTATCCTCCCAGTGAGATCTGTGTAAATGGATCTGGAGCGCCCCATCCCTGCACGCCATCTTGCCTGGATCCAGGTACCCCACCTTGCACCCATGCCCACCCCCTACTTCCCATGCCCCAGCAGCTACCCCCATCTGGGTCTAGGGAGTCCCTTTGAGGTCCAGTCACTGGGGTCCAGCTGCTGTTTTGCAGATTAAACAAAGTGGGCCTGAAAACATGAGTTAACTAAGCGAGATGAGAAGCCCCCCTCCTTTCTCTCCCTCACCCCCAAAACAGGCAGGCCAGGAAAGCCAGACTTGGAACCAGGAGTCAGTCCTTGCTGGGCCAGCCCAGACTCCTAGGGTGACCTTGCTCAAGGAAATCTCTTCGCTTCTGTGAGTCTCAGTGGCCACAACTGTGAAACGGGGATGGCAATCTCTCCTCCCCAGTGTGCCCAAATGAAGCCGGAGGCCACAAGAGGCAAGAATCTAGGTGATCACAGCAATGGGGTAGGACACCACTGTCCCTGAGGGGCAGGCCCCTCCTCTACATGGGCCAGGTACGCGCTGCGGGACGAGGGGAATCTTCCCAGGAAAGGGATGTCAAGGTGTGGACAGGAGAGGAGACTCCCTCGCCCCCATCTCAGTCCTTTGTGCCGCGCTCGGAGGAACAAGGGGGGGCGGGAGGCCAGGCTGCGGCGCCTGAGCGGGAGCGCTGTGACTTTAAGAGTCGAGGATCCCGGACCATGTGCTCCGCGTGAGACAAAAGCAACAACAAAGGAAGTGGCGGTGCGGCAGGGGGAGGGGGCGGCTCCTTTCCAACCGCAGCGCTCAGGCTCCGGAGCGGGAGCCTCGTCCAGGCATTGGGGCTCCCTGGGAGGGGGTGTCTCTGATCTGAGAGGTCTCGCCGCCCCCCTCCGGACCGCCCGCGATTAACCCCTGCGGAGCCAGCGGTCTCACCGCCCCCGGTCGTCCCGAGGGAGGGGGCAGCAGTGTCCAGGGACGCGGAAACTCACCTTCAGCCTCCTGGACACACGTTGATTCCTTTGTTCCCGATCTGGGGCGGCCGAGCTGGGCCAGGGAGGGAGCGGTGATGGGGTGGGGTGGGGGGGGTCTGCCCGGACCCTTTAAGAGCCCCCGCCCTGCGGAACAATGTGCTCCCCTCCCCACCCCCGGGGCCGGGAGCAGTCCGGCTCCTTCCGGGGCCTCTTGCTTTGTTGTCCGTCCGCTGGCGTCCGCCTCGCGAGGCCCACGCGCGCCCAGCCTCCCTCGGCCCAGGCCCTCCGGCGGCGGGAGGCGGCGCAGGACGCGGGCAGGTCTGCGCAGCTGCCCGGGCGGCGGCTGGCCCTTTAAGAACTGGCCGCGGCGCCGGCGGAATGTAACAAACCCCGCATTTGATTCACAACATTCGGAGCGGCGGAGGGGGGGGCGCGCGCGCGCGGCGGGCGGGGGCCTCGCGGGGGCGCGCCGGGAGGC